AAACTCGTCGCTGAGTTTGAAGCTCTAAACCCAAAACTGAAATGATCATTCCTGTCTCAATTATTAGTCTTTCTAGTGGAACATAAAATTAAAACCAATAAGCTTTATGAATGAGTTTTATCGGTTAGTCTCAAGAAATTATAATGAAAATAAACATTAAAACTCATCCATGAAGGTTACTGGTTTCGAACTTGTGTTCCACCAGTTAGACAAACAATTGAGAGAAGAATGATGATTTCAATTTTGGGTTCAAAACTTCAAACTCAGCGACGGATTTGGGAAAGGTGTGCGAGGGAGGGATGCAGCTTAATTGAGGAGAGAAAGGACTGTGAATTTACAATTTTATCCACGTTCTTAAGGGAAATGTTAACAAGGGACCATTCGTGGAAATGAATAAAATAATTGGGGACTAAATTAGTAATATTTGATATGTAGAGACTAAATATGTAAAACGACCTATAACTTTGGACTTTTTATGGAATTTACTCTAATAAATTTATATCTAATAATTATACAATTAGAAATCACTCAAAATTGTAATAACTTTTAATCAAAAATAGAAATTTCATATTTTTATTTTCAAAATAGAAGTTTGCATTATGACATATTAAAATGACACAAGTATATTAGCATTATATAATGTTTTTTGGTATTATATGGCACCGCAACTTCTATTTTGATAATAAAGCATGAAATTCCTATTTTTTGATACTTTTTATATGTTTTACTTTAATTTAATCTTTTTTCTTATACAATATACCTTGTTTTGTTGGTAATAACTTTTCTCATCACGAACGAACAAAATTCAATCTTGAAAATGATACTTTTATTTTTGTATACATACTCAGAGTAGACTCATTATGAAATTATTATATAATTCGTACGTCTTTACAAGTTACAACAATAATGTGGGAATTCTATTATTTGTAATAACATTTTGTGTGCACCGGGCACGAGGCGGCCTTTCTAAAGACCAGATTGAGATTATATCATGATTTACCTTTCTCTCACAATTTTGTCGGGCCGGGGTATGAGGGCACCCAGGGGTGGCGTTCCACCTATAGCATACCCATTATTTTTTGTACAAGTAAAAAATATATATACGCATTTAGGTGAACAAGAAAATAAATGTTAGAAATATTGTACGAAGAACAATGCGGAGCAGTGTTTATGAAGAACTCGATAGTATAACGAATCGCGTATGAACGCTTTCAGATCAAAATTATTTCGGGGTATACGAAATACTTCAATCGGATAAGACGTTAATCAACAACAAGCACTCGAAATCCCACCCTTAATCCATACCACGAGACTCTATTTTATAGAGTCAAAATTCATGAACGGACATGAATGTTCGCATAGACACGTACGTTCGCGCGGAGAGGAAGAAAGGTGCGATTTTGAACGAAAGGTCTCCTGCAGTTTTAGGGTCGATTTTGACGTTATCCACTTGTTCGAGTCCTTTACCGTTTTGGACTCCGATTACGAAAATCTTAAGGATTTTCATAAAGAAACAACGTCCGAAATAAAAAATTTCCAAGTTGTCTCCTGCCAGGGGCTCTGCCCCTTGGACCCCGCCAGGGGCTGCCGCCCCTTGGACCCCGCTACCCGAAGCTGCCGACCCCGGACCCCCACTCTCCTGGGGACTGCCGACCTCGGACCCCCGCAGTGAATTTGTAATATCATTGAACGAGCGCGCACTCCGCGCCTCCTAACTCGTTTTACAACGTATATTTAATTTTTTATTCGATCTAAGTAAATCCAATTACATAAAATAAACTGATGACACAAATATCACCAACAATAAATACATCTAAATGTATCATATAATCATCCCTATACAAAAACTCAACCCAATAAATTCATCACCGTTGATCAATAATTAATAATCTGTCTTATAAAGAAAAGTGATTAAGGAGAAATAATTCGGCAGATCGTGTTTAAGCAGAGAAAAACTGTTGACCCCAATTAGGAAATACTGAAATAGTATAGCAAGTTGCCAAAACCTGTAGAAGTGTTATTATTATTATTATTATTATTATTATTATTATTATTATTATACTTTAATTTTTTATTGAGAAATTTACTCAAATAGCACAAAAACATAATGACTTTCCCTAAATAGCACTATATGTGTTTTTCTTCCCAATATAGCACTTTTAGTCATTATGCATTAGTCATTATTCAAGTAAATATTCGTCTGGTCATTATAGACATTATCAAGTACTACTTAGGAAATAAAACAATTTAAGTGCTATTTAGGGAAATGACTTAAGTTTTAGTGCTATTTAGTACAAATATTTCTTTTTTATTTGACACTCTAAATTGCAATATTCATTCTCTCACATAAATAATGTACGGAGTATTTTAGAGTGCCAATATTAAAAAGTGGAGTAGAAATATCATTTTCATTATTATTATTGTTATTGTTGTTGTTATTATTATTATTATTATTATTACTACTACTAATACTACTTATTACTACTATTACTCTGTATTTTTTATTCTTGTTATTGTTGTTGTTGTTGTTGTTCTTATTATTATTATTATTATTACTATTATTAATCTCTCAATCCTAGAATTAAAATTCCATTTTGCTTTTTCCGATCAAAGAATGATACTACAACAGAAATTTATCTAAATAATTCTAAAACATAGTAATTTTTCCAACGTAGTAGCATATGTTTTTTCCCAAATGTACTACAATTGTTCAATGTTCACTATTAAATAAATGTAATTTTGCCAATGTTCACTGTTCATTGTTTAAATAAATGTCCACTATTAAAGTACATTGTTCAAACTAAATATTCACCATTAATAATTGTTTTTGCCACTAGACATTATTCAAGTACTATTTAGAGAATAAAAAAAATAAGTACTACATTGAGAAAGGACATATGTTTTTATACCATTCAGTGCAAAATTCACTTATCACAAATTAAATGAAGTTTTAAATGAATAAAAGTTAAAATAAAAATATACTCCCTCCTTCTCGAAAAGAAGTACCCATTTTGACTTTTGGTCATTTTTATTGGGTGTTGACTTTGGGATGGAAATGTCCACAATACCCTTTTGCCCTTCCCTCATCCTTCTCTGTTATCCATCCCCTAAGCCCACACAACCACCCCTGCTCCCAATCGCCCCAATGACCCAACCCACACCACCACCGTTAGCTCTACCCGCCGCACCACCAGCGTCAGCTCCGCCCATCGCACCACCACCGTCTGCTCCGCCCGCCGCAGGAGCTTTTCGAGGAAGCATATCTGTGAGGATGTGAAGTTCAACCACAGAGCTGACCCACCCGGCAAAAGTTCATAGAACTTTAACAAGATCTAGGCGGAGGAGGAGAAACAGAACAAGAAATTTCAAAAAGATGGTGCAGATCTGGCTGGAAAAAGAAGCAGAAGCTAGAGAGAAGGTGCTAATCGAGAAAAAATAACGGAGAAGAAAGGAGAAGAAGAAAAGAAGGAGAAGATGGGGACTATGAAAGAGAAGGAGAGAGAAGAAGAAGATTGAAGTGAGGGAGGACACATAGAGAAGCAGATCGGGAAAATGGAACGGGAAAGAAAGGAGAAGAAGAAAAGGGGGGAGGGTGGGGGAAAGTGCGAGAGAGAGAGAGGATGGGAGAAGAGGAAGAGTGAGTTTTGGAATTAATGAGAGGCAAAATTCACATGAATACTCCCAGAAATTTTAGTTTTTACATAAATACTCCCAAATTTGTTTATTTACATAGTTACTCCCACATTTGTCTGTTATTTACGTCATTACTCCGCGATTGCTTCATCGTCAGTGTTCCTCGGATACGTCTTTTTAAACGGGGTTCTTCATCGTTTTTTTATTGAATTCAAATTAAATTAATATGAACACACTTGATATTAAACATTAAAAACATTTAGGAAGTTTGAAATCTAATTTTTTTTTAAAAAGTGATGGAAATAAGGGCAATGATTAGGCTTACTAAGACGTGAGAAAGTCGATGGAGAGAATAATTTGAGGTGAATTTATTATATTATAGTGAAAAAAATACATATCTGCATTTTAACTGTTCACTTAGCACAAAAAAATGCATTCAAGTAACACTAATGTTCACTACCAAATTTGGGAGCAATGATGTAAATAAAAGAATAATGTGGGAGTAATGATGTAAAGAAACAAATTTGGGAGTATTTATGTAAAATCTGTAATTTCTGAGAGTATTCTTGTCAATTTTGCCTTAATGAGAGGGTATTTTAGGTAGAGTGGGTATAAAAACGTAAAATGGGAACTTTATTTCCGGACGGAAAAAAGCGTAGGATGGGAACTTTAATTCCGGACGGAGGGAGTAATATGTTAAAACTATATCTTAAAATAAATTTGAGTATAATCCCTCCGTCCCCAATTTGATTACAAATTGCGGGTTACAGAGTAAAATTTTCTACTTTTTGAAATTAATTTATTTACAAATTGGTATATCAATAAGACATAAAAGTTACATATTAAAAAACTACATCAAAAGTTCTACAAAACAAGAGGTGACAAGAAAATTTTATTTTATCAAATACTTAGAGAAATCGCATAAACAAACAAAAGTTATCGAGAAGAGAGAAAAAAAAGGTAATCTATTTAGGGACAGAAGGAATATTAAATTTAAACATGTTTTCAATTTGTAGTAAAAAAATTGTAATTTGACACACAAAAAAGTTGGAATGGAACTTTATTTTTGGGACAAAAATAGTTTATGATTAAAAAAATTCGGACAGGCATAATTTGAATGCAACGTCTCTCTCGCACTCTTAGACACGCCACATGGTAGAGCCGACTGACCGTTGTGACCCGAGATCGCATCCAACGGCCATATTTCCATAGGTAGCCGTTAGATTTGAATAAAGACCCTCTATTTCTCCCCCCTCTCCGATTCTATGCCTTAACACGCGGACAACGCCCCCATTAATCTCTCTCTCTGGCTCTCTCTCCTCTATCCCCCTGTGAGGGTTCTTCTTCTTCCTCTCGGGTCATAGATAGAGAAATTACAGAGCTCTCACGGATTTGGATCTGGGATTTTTGAGAAGGGAAGAGAGCTGGGTTTCTTTCTTGTCCTTCTTTGCTGATGAGTTCTGAAATCCGGATGGATCTTGGAAGCATGGAGACGACTGATGAGAACAAAGTTCCTTTCGTGAAATCAAGAAACGCTCAAGGTGAAAGGATGGATCTTGCTCTTCTTCTTTCGGGTTCTGTTGAAGAATGTTTTGTTTCATGAATTGGGTCGGATTCTGATTTGGTTTTCTTTTTTATGGGTTTGATCCTGAAGGTGGGGGGAGAAAGTTTGGAATGGAGAACAGGAACAGCAGGAGGGCACTGGGTGTGATTAATCAGAGTTTAGGAGCTCATCCATGCTCATTTGTTGTTAATAAAAGAGGATTATCAGGGTATTTCTTCAATCCCTAAATCCAATTTCAGTCCTGAAACTGTGAATTCTGATTTCTTTGGATTAATTTTATGCACTGCTGATTTCTTTGAAACACAATTCCTGTTTTTAGAGCTAATAATGGGGTCTGCAACAACAAAAATCTCCCCATTCCAGCGCAAAGACCCATAACGAGGTCAGTGAAGACGAATTTCTGATTATTTTCAATTCCTTTTCTGATGGGTATTTTAAGATTATTGAGATATCTTTTTTCTCATTTTCTTAATTGAAGAAAATTTGCTGCCCAGATTGCTAGCTCCCAGCAACATAGTCATGAGGTATAATTAAATGATTCTCAATGTTAAAAAAGAAGAAAAATTTAAAGAAGATGAATATTTAGTGTTTCAATGATGATGGTGGGAACAGGAAACCAAGAAACCAAAAATTGCAGTAGCAGCAGAAGAAGAAGAGTTGAGGGTATGGGAGGATGTGGATTTACAAGAAGAGGGTAAAGACCAGCCTGTTCCCATGGCTTTGGAGCAGACAGAAACACGCTCTATTGAAAAGGCTTTCATGGTAATTAAAACTAACAGTGTAAAACAATGGCAAAGTAAAATGTGAATCCTTTGGATGGTTATTCTTTTTTAGCAGACAAATAAAATGCAAATCCCATTGTGTGTTTGTTCTGGCAGGAGATTGAGATGGAGGATATGTTTGAGGAAACCATAGTAGACATTGACAGTGTTGACCAAAAGAACCATCTTGCAGCTGCTGACTATGTGGGTGACATTTATGCCTACTACAGAAAAGTTGAGGTACTCAAAAGTCCAACATATGGAACATTTTTTTTAAAAAAATCTCTGGCATTTAATGTTTCCAGCTGTGATATACCCCTCCCTCTCAAAATTATTCTTGTACTCCTATGAAAACAGAAAGATAATTATGAAAAATAGAGAGTATCAATTAGAAGGCCATAGTGCCATAGAGTTCACCATATATAGACATACAGTTCAAATTTACCTATTTCAAACCAATAATCAATTTAAAAAGACTGGAAATTATAAAGAATAAAGAATTTACTTTTTGTGGAAGCAGTCGATCTCAAGTTATTGACTTTTTAGGGGAAATACTTTAAGGACGTCCCCTTGTTTGTCCCTTTTTTGAAATGTCAAAATGATTTCAAACCAGTTTTGATTAATTATTCGTATAATCCATTGTTGGGTTTCAGAGTGGTAGCTGTGTTTCACCAGACTATATGGCTCAACAATTTGACATCAATGAGAGAATGAGAGCAATCCTCATTGATTGGCTCATTGAGGTAAACAAAAAAAGTTTCACTTTTTTTTTAACTCTACTGGTTAAGATTTCCTTGATAAGCAACCATGTCTAAACAATTGAATGGCCAAAAAAAATAGGTGCACTACAAGTTTGATCTTAGGGAAGAGACCTTGTTCCTGACAGTGAACCTAATAGATAGGTTCTTGGAGAAGCAGTGTGTGGTGAGGAAGAAGCTCCAGCTTGTTGGGCTTGTCGCCATGTTGCTGGCCTGCAAGTACGAGGAAGTCTCTGTCCCTGTTGTAGATGATCTCATCTTCATCTCAGACAAGGCTTATACCAGAAAAGAAGTCCTAGAAATGGTAATTTCTTTATAAAAAATCAAAATTAACCCACAATTTCTTGATCATTTTTAATGAAAAAAGAACTCATTTTAATGATAAAAGAACTCATTTTTAATGCATTTTCAACACTGCAGGAGAGCCTGATGCTGAACACCCTTCAGTTCAACATGTCAGTCCCAACGCCGTACGTGTTCATGAAGAGATTCTTGAAAGCGGCCCAATCAGACAGGAAGCTGGAGCTCATGTCCTTCTTCTTGGTTGAGCTTTGCCTGGTGGAGTATGAGATGCTGAGATTCCCTCCTTCTTTTCTGGCTGCCGCGGCGGTCTACTCTGCGCAGTGCACCCTCTACGGCGTCGCGCAGTGGAGCAAGACCTGCGAGTGGCACACGGGCTACACGGAGGACGAGCTCGCAGAGAGCTCAAGAGCTATGGTGGGGTTCCATGAGAGGGCTGAGGGAGGGAAGCTGACTGGAGTGTACAGGAAGTACAGCACTTCAAGATTTGGGTATGCTTCAAAATGTGAGCCTGCAAAGTTTCTACTTGTTGTATAGAAACAACAACAACAATGATGATGATGATGATGATTTAGCAAAAACCAAACAGGGAAGAGAAGAAGAGAGGAGGGAACTCTAACTAATATACATGTATGGATGAGGATTGAGTTTGGGTGGGTGGGGGTAAAGTGGGAATAATGTGTTGGTTGTTTAGAAAAGCAACTACCTGTTGCCCCCCATCAAAAAAATTAATATTTGATCATATTGTTTTTTTTTTTTTTGACTTTATTGGTAGATTCTTTAGGATGGGTGTTTGCAAGTGCAAATAGCAGTGATACATTCTGTTTTCTCTTTTTAATCCATAACAACACATTCATTGATTAGCTTCATTACTTGGGTCATATTGTGCTTCTGTAATCTTATGCAGAATAGTTAGTGGCTTTCATTTCAAACAAACCAGAAAACTATGATTTTGTGGCAAACTTGTTTGAGGTTTTTCTTTTACCCACCTCAGATGTGCTTTGGGCTAGGCTGAGTGGACAATTGAATGAGTACTAGAATTAGCAAAGGCGCTTTAGAGGGGAGCATAGGCAATTGGTGAGGTTGGGTTTGGGTTACGACTTGCGACTTATAGTTCAAGATAGAAATTTTATATTCATGATTTAGCATCATCGGATTTGAGTTGTCCAAACGGGTTATAAACTTTATTTTCGGGATGTTTGAATTTAAACTCCACTTGCAATGTGTATTTAAAAAAATAAAATATCAAAATGTTTACATTAAAGATTTAAAGCTATTAAAATATGGAGTATTCTATTTTGATATTTAAGTAATATTTAAATGTATACCCTAAAATGAGTTATAAGAAAAATAAATTCATTCCATTGTAGTATCGATTATATAATCCAAAGAAAAATAAATTCATAACACCATTTTTATTACTTTATATTTCATTTGTTTTAACCAATATTATACTCCCTCCGTCCTAAAATTAATTTCCCATTTTGACTTTTGCAGTCAAAGTTTTAAAACTTTGACTGCATATTACGGAAAAAATATATTGAATTTTCATATAAATTTAGTATCAATAGATTCATTTTGAAACATAGTTTTGAAATATATTATTTTGATAATATATATTAATATAAAAATGGAGATATTAATGGTCAAAGTGCCGCATTGGAGACCGTGAAAAGTCAAATGAGAAGTTAATTTTAGAAAACTTACTTTAAGAGGGTCTGGGCTCAAACAAGTTTGACCCATTTTTAGCCGTCTTTTTTGGAATCGGCCATCTTTGCTTTAAAACTTTTGTTCAAAAAATTATTTTCGTATCATTGCTTAAGTATTTCATAAAAAACAATTAGTCAGTTCTTGTCAGCTCTAGGGAACACCATAAGTGAACGCTCAGAGGCCCTGATTATATTGGGGCCAAATTTTTACACCTTTTTAATACTCGGTACTTCTTTTGTCCCAAATTTGATTATAAATTGAGATTTATGAGGTAAATCTCGTATGTTTTAAAACCATTTTAATTATAAATTGTTACATCAATAAAAAATAAAAATCACATATTAAAAAGCTACGTTAAAAATACACAAATAAATAAAAATTATCGGGAAGAGACAAATAAAGATTATAATCAAAGCTGGGACGAATGAAGTATTAAAAAAATTACTATCTCTTTTACTCCTATCCTAAAAGGATTTTCTCATTTAGTATTAACATGATCAAATTTAGTCATTTTCTTTACCTATTTTCATTAGTTATTTGATAAAATACTCCTAATACTATAATCATGTCAACTCTTGAGTTATAAAAATTTTGATGTTTTGAAATATATAATTTTTATTTTGTTATTTTATAGTTATAATCCAATAAATTGAACTAAAAATAATCTTAGATATCTTAAAATGAATTGAGAAGCTCATTTTAAAACGGAGGGAGTAACATTTTAAGATTTAGAGCACTGGTAATACCTCTCACGCCCCATGGCGTGATAAGGCGTTTTAACGCCGGGGGGCTTTAAAAACCGCCCTCCATCGGCGTGATTTGGGCGTGATGTGCTTGGCGTCACTTGTTTGACGCAATCTCCTCCCCTTTTAACGGCTCTAATAGCGGTTGAATGCAAAAAAAAAGAAAAATAATTTTTTTTGTTATAAATTCAAACCCTCCTCCCAATCTCTCACACCTTCTTCAATCTTCTTCAATTTTCTTCAATTTCAAACTCCCCCCTCTCTTTTCAACATGAATCCTGTTGACACCTCTTTTTTTATTTAACGAATGTAATTTTTTAAATTTTAAATTATTGTCGTTTCAATTTCTTTAAATTTAATGAATGTATTTTTCATTATTCATGTTTCAATATAATTAAATAATAATTACATTTTATTAATTTAATTTTAGAAGATGTATATTTAAAAATGTAAAAAATGAAAGTTTGAAGCCTAATTTGAAGCTCCGGGGCTTCAAATCCATTTCCAGTAAATTTTTAATGTAAGTTAAAACTGACGTGGCAGAAATAAAAAGTTTAAAGCACGGGGATTTCAAAGGTATTTCCGCTCTTTAAGTACTCCCTATTTTATTGTTGTCTCTTGGCTCTCTGTTAGCTCTTAAGCTATTTCCGCTCTTTAAGTCCCCGAAATCCACTCTCGCCGCAAACATTCGTGGGTATATCCGATTCGGTACCGAAGCCCAACGAATCCAAAGAGCTAAAAATGGCCGCCTCCATGTCCACCGTTGCTACCTTGAGAGCCACCTTCCACCACCGCCACCTGAGTTCCTCCACACATGTCGCCTCCTTCCCCACCACCGTCTCCCTTCCCTCCACCACCACCAACGCCGTCACCGCCAAACCCATGTTCATTTCCTGCAACTCAGCCGCCGCCACTGCACCCGTCCAAGCCCCACCGCCGTCCTCCATTTCTTCAGACCGCGTCTTCAACTTCGCCGCCGGCCCCGCCACGCTCCCGGAGAACGTCCTCAGGAAGGCGCAGGCGGAGCTCGTCAACTGGCGCGGCTCCGGCATGTCGGTCATGGAGATGAGCCACCGCGGGAAAGAGTTCCTGTCCATCGTCCAGAAAGCCGAGTCAGATCTGCGGGATCTGCTCGGCATCCCCGACGATTACGCCGTCCTCTTCCTCCAGGGCGGCGCCACCACCCAATTCTCCGCCGTGCCGCTCAATCTCTGCTCCCCCGACGACGCCGCCGATTTCATCGTCACCGGATCGTGGGGAGACAAGGCTTACAAGGAAGCCGGCAAGTACTGCAAGCCGAATCTGATTTGGACCGGAAAATCGGAGAAATACACCCAGATCCCGAGCTTCGACGACCTGGAACAAAACCCTAACGCCAGGTATTTGCATATATGCGCCAACGAAACCATCCACGGCGTGGAATTCAAAAATTACCCAACGCCGAAGAACAATTCCGGCGTTCTAGTCGCAGATATGTCTTCCAATTTCTGTTCCAAGCCAGTCGACGTTTCCAAATTCGGAATCATCTACGCCGGAGCTCAGAAGAACGTGGGTCCCTCCGGCGTCACCATTGTCATAATCCGGAGAGATCTGATCGGAAACGCAACCGAATCCACGCCGGTGATGCTGGATTACAAGATCCACGCCGACAACAATTCCCTGTACAACACTCCCCCATGCTACGGGATTTACATGTGCGGGTTAGTCTTTGAAGATCTACAGAGTCAGGGAGGACTGGGGGAAGTGGAGAAGAAGAACAAGAAGAAAGCCGAGGTCCTGTACGAAGCCATTGATGGCAGCAATGGGTTCTACAGGTGTCCGGTGGAGAAGCCCGTGAGGTCCTTAATGAACGTGCCGTTCACATTGGCAGAGACGCCATTGGAGGCCGAGTTCATAAAGGAGGCTGCTTCGGAGAAGATGGTGCAGCTGAAGGGGCATAGATCAGTGGGAGGAATGAGAGCTTCAATTTACAATGCCATGCCATTGGCCGGAGTCGAAAAGCTGGTTGCATTCATGAAGGATTTCCAGGCAAGGCATGCTTGAGACTTGACACTTTCCATTATTTGCCATTTTTGGGGTTTGATTTATGCTTTAAACATCTTTTTTTTATTGTTTTCTTTTTTCCTATGGTTGATTCTAAGCATTGCATATGTTTTGATTATCTTTTCTCTTCTTGTTGTTCTCCTTTTGAAGTATAAAGAGCATTTCATCCTCCTCAATAATTAAGTAATTGGCTTGTGATTTTCACCATTGTTTTTTATGTTTATGTACTTCTAATTTATAACAATTAACAAGTCCTATTAATGGAATCATAGAACAAAATGATCAAAGATTATTTTAATGTGATGAAACAATACACGCATAGTTTTTGAATAATATAGTAAATTAACAATCAAACATTGTAAGGGGGAATAAGATGACATGAAGGGGCAAAGAAGAGAAGAATGATTAGAAAGGGGAGGAGAATAGAGGAGAGAGATGAGGAGGGGGGAATATTATTCCCCAAAAGAGAAAAAATTTATTGGCCAATTATATTTTTAATTTTTTTGCACAAATGAAAAGATGACATGTGGAAAAATATAATTTAATAATAGGGGAATGATTAGAAAAGGTAAGGAAAATTGAAGGACTAAAAGTGATCTAATATTAAAAGTAGATATCTGAAGAGGAGAGGAGAATCAGTCTAAGGGCACTGAAAATACCCGTGAAGCCTCGGGACTTCAAACATTTTCTCTGTCACATCAGCTTTAACTTATCTCACAGTTTCAGTGGAAATGGTTTGAAGCCCCGAAGCTTCAAACTGGGGGTTCAAACCTTCAGTTTTAATATTTTAAATATACATCTTCTAAAATTAAATTAATAAAATTTAATTATTTAATTATTTAAAAGAATCGAAAGGAGAATAGTTCATTAAAAAATTACATTCATTAAAAAAATATTACATCCATAAAAAACAACACTACGAACAAATTACTGATTATTTGAGCGACTGAAGATATGTTCGATCAAATCCACCGTTAGTGCATTGTCAATCTCTCGGCTTCGAATTTCTTGACGGTTTCTTCATTTCTTTTCTTCGTCGATTTCTTCGTACATAGGTACCTTCTCGTCCGAGTTGTACTGACAAATCGCAAACCCGTTGTCCTCTACGATCATATTATGAAAAATAATACATGCGTACATGATATTACTCATTTTTGTTTGAGAATAACATTTGGACGGACGATCTAGAATGTGCCACTTAGCCTTCAAGACCCCAAAGGCTCGTTCAATATCTTTTCTCGCCGCCTCATGAGCTTTTTTGTAGGTTTGGCGTTTAAGATCCATTGGTTCGGAGAGGGACTTGACAATCTTGAAATAATTTGGATATGTTCCATCGGCCAAATAATAACCACGCTTGTAAAGCGTCCCTTTAGAAAATTTATAAGAAAAATGCTAGGGGTACACCAAATGGTGTACCCCATTTGTCCCCCACTCCCTCCATAACCACAAAAAAAAGGCAAGAGACTAAAAAAAATTATATAAATAAAAATAAAATAAAATTGAGTGGTAGAGAGAGGGGTGGGGGACAAATGGGGTACACCTTTGGTGTACCCCTAGCATTGCTCAATTTATAAACACAAGACCTGATGCTTCGAGCGACATCTTCAAGTATTCGTCGAACATATCAGATGAAGTCTCTTACGCCATCTGACGAAGCGCGACAGTGCACTTCTGTACACTGCTAAACCTGCGTCGCCCTCTCGCATCAAAACGTTGGGTGAACCAAGGCATCTCGCGTTCAATATCGGCGAGTATGCGTAAAAAGAGAGGACGACTCATCTGAAAATGATTACTAAAATCTCCTTGTGTATAAACACACGGAGTATTGAAGTAGTCGTTGAGAAGTGAAGCGTGGGCTCAAAAGGCGGTGGATGGTGGGAGGCGTCAGCACCATTTCTACTACTCTAAGAATAAAGGAGTATTTGAGAATAGTTTGAGTTTAAGATTGAAAAAGGTCATTTGCCTTTTGTTGTGCACACCCCAATAATTCTTGTGCCTCGCCTATTCCACACATGGTGTTGTTGATGTGGCAATGCATGGGAGCAATTCAACGCGCCGCAGCAATTGCTCTAAAATTAATATTCCTAATTTGACTTTATACAAAGTTTTAGAAAAATAAAATTGTATAATTGAAAGTGATTCAGAGAGAAAAAAAGGTGACTCCAAAATAAACATTCCAAAAAATGAAAGAGAAAAATTAAAGGGCATGCGCATTGAAGGGCATGTGCATTGGCATTCACACGAATTTTAAAAAGGTGTACTTACACGGAAATAATATTTGCACTCAAAATTTTGATATTGATACTTCAAAATGCACTATTTGCCACTCTCACATGAATATTGAATTTTGGAGTGTCAATAACAAAAAGTAAAGTATAAATACCATTTTCTAAAATTATACACGGAGTAGTTAAATTTTATGTAGAAAAGATATAAAGAATACGATATTTGACTAAAGTTATTAAGAATTAGGATGACATTAAAAACTAAAAATTACGTAGTACATATTCAAAAACTACTTTAAACACTTTACGGAATAAGAAGTGATATGATTATATTATTTTATCAAATGAGTAACAAAAATAGGTGAAGAAAGTGAACGAAATTTAATCCAGTAAATAATAAACATGTAACTCAAATTGAGATAAAAGAGATAACAATTTGGAGGTTAGTTTCGTACACGAACCAAACATGGCACAATAGAGCTGCTATCAGAGGACGATGGTGGTGAAGCTCCAAGACTTTTTGGCAGTGTCTGGAGCTTCCTACGTTGTTTGGAACTGAAATTGTTGTCCCCAATTTCAATTCTAAAGTTTGAATTTCGTGTACTAAACGGAACCTAAGGTGATTCGGACATATACTAGGGACGTGCAAAGGCTANGGAGACCAAGAAGACTAGAAGAGTTGGAATGAGATATTTAGACTACACTTACGACTTCAAAATCTAAACGAAGATATAACGTAGATCCAAAATTAACCGAAGTTCGTAAAAATGAAGATATGAGAAAACCCTAGATCCAAAAGCAACACAGGCTCGTTAAAACAGAAATAGGAGAGTACCCTAGAACCAAAATCATACAGAAAATTTCTTTGAATGATCCAATAAGAGAATAAGGGGGAAGAGATTACAGAGGGATGAGATAAGGGGACAACGAAAAAAATAGAACCACATATAAGGGACAAGGGAAAAATGAAGAAAGGGGAGTGGCAGTTTAGGAAAGAGTAAATACATAAGGGGCAGTTTAGGTGTTTCATCAATAAAAAGTTGGCTAAATAAGAAACAAGCAATTTATTTTGGAACAACCCAGAAAGAAAAACAAACAATATAAACAGACAATGAATATATTGGGTTCCTCCTATTCTATGATTCTATATCTCATGCAATTTTCTTTCTTTTGAATTTTGTTCTTTATAATCTAGAGGGGAAAAGAAGTCTTGAGCCCAGTCTCAATTTGTTATATATGATTGAACAATTCAGCCACAGCATTAGACATTCCGGACAAAATGACCAAATTTGGCCAGCACAGTACTCCTAGACAGTGTGGGCATCACCTGTGCGCGGGTCATCTTGGGTAGGTGATCAAGAAAATGAGAATCTAGAGAATAGAGACAATCCTCCTGTTGCAGAAGTATCGCTTGCCGGGCTGGCTGGAATGCTAGTTGTAGAGCGGTAAGCTTGCTGACATTTGAGCATCTGCAAAAGATCGTTCACGTGAGTTTTTCTAGCCTCTGGAGGCTATATTTGCTTCTCTTTATAATTTTAAAGGTTCACTCAAGAGAACCAGGATATCATGTTTAATGTCATAGCTTAAAATGGAAAAAATCATGTAGGTCTAGAATCATTCTCTCAGTGTTGGTTTGGATTGGATGGTTTTGGAACGCTAAATCTATATGACTATATCTTGATAAATATATACTCAGGATCTTAAAAAATTGAAGGAATATCACAACAACAAAAATTGAAGGAATGTCATAATAGGTAAACCATGTTCTTTGTATATCATTTCAATCGTTGGTCAATTTTAGCAGCATTCTGTCTATGGGCAACAACAACCAAGTTGAATCCCACAAGAGTAGGGTATGGGGAGGGTGTGTGAACGTACTACGTAGATCCTACCCCTACTCGAAGTAGAGAGGCTGTTTCCAAAGATACCCCCGGCTCAGCAAGCATTCTGTCTATTGACATATAGAGCAAGTCATCTAGAGTCTTCCCCTCCAAACCCCTCCATTTATATTTACCAAGTGTTGTTCCATATCTTGCATTGACCATAAAAGCATTACATATTTCTTTGGAATCAAGGTTGATTGTATTAAGTTAATACACAGAAGTATAGGGACTTAGTAAGCATAGTTTTATTAAACATTATTGTATCTCATTCCAATCGGGTAGAGGCGCATTATTTATTTATAAAACATTGTAATCTGGAATAATCTTAAGAAATGATCATGTTGGTGTAAACTGTCAGTTTAGTTTCAAATTAATGATGGCCATATTATTCAACATGTAGCATGGGAAGCATGTTAAGTTGAAGAAGATAAGATCAAATGTGCTAAGCAGGTTTTTAAAAATCACATGAACTTTGAAAACGTAATCACATATATTCATAGATTCGTAAAGAAGAAGATCACCTCATCGGGGCTGAACTGCAGGAGCATTGCAATCACAGGCAACAGAGCTTCCACTTCACCTGTTTAATAACAATATTCAAAATGATCATTGAACTTCAGAGAATACTCCAAATCATAGCATTGTTTGGTTCAATAGAGGAAAGAGAGGAAAAATAATGGGGGGGGGGAGATGAAAATGGTGGTGGTTAAAAAAAGTTGTGTTTGGTTCAATAGGGGGGAGACTGGAGAGGAATAATTTGAATTTTTGGAAATGTGTAAAATTGTTGTAGACTATGGAGCATTTGCTACTCCCTCCCACTATTTTTGTCTCTTTTTACTTTTTTTGTTTGCGCCACTATTTTTGTCTCATACCATATTTCATCATATTTGTGTGGTTCACATTCATTCTTTATCTCACTTTTTCTTAATCTTGAAACATCATTATCAACTTCACAATCTTACTTTTCTTAATATCTGTGTCAATTCCTCGTGTGACGGAGGGAGCACTCTGTAGTTTTTTATTGTTAGTAAAGATATACTAATCTACATGTATAACCACAAAGCGAAAGAGATTAATAAAAATATACCCACCCACTCCTCCACTTTCCTCCCCTCCAAAACCTCCCAACCAAACAAAGGCTAATGCACCATGAAGGAGTGGCCAAGGGGATGAAAGTCAACTATATCTGGAACATCTCACATCATACTGATATAATCCATAAAACATACCTGTCTCTAAAAGTTTCAAGATGACATTTTTTAGATAAGTCAAATCTACGCCTTCTCTTTTCTGTGTTCTATCCATGTTACGAAGCTCATCTTTTAACATGGATACCTGCACTCATGTTACTCGTAGATTGAATGGACAGATACCACACAGAAACTTAAAATAAGACAACTAAGCTATTTCATAGCATATACCTGCTGACTGTGGAGACGATTTTCATGTTCAAGCTCCTCAATTTCTTCCTGAATGGTGGAAACCAGATATTCATGGAACAAACCATACCGAAGAAAGTCAAGAAACTTAGAGAAGTGCCTTAGTAAGAAAACATATACTCATCAAACAGAGAACAACTAGATATACCTGAAGCGCAAGAATGTGACGCTGTGACTGAGCAAGTTCTTCCTCTCTTTGGGCTTGTTGCCTTGCCAACATCTAAAATTGATTATAGGATAAGCAAATGAAGTAGCTGAGAAGGAAATAGAAAAGTTGAGGGGTGGATGAAAAAAGAAGGGGATGGAAGAGATCATTAAAACTGTTATGTTCAGATCGATTAAGGAGTGGGAGAAGTTAGTATATTGGAAAAATATGTAAAAATATTGTATATGATAGATTTTTATGTAATAAATTCAAAATATATGTAAAAATATTGTATTTAATATATTTTGTTTTAATTTTAAAATAGGATAGACATGTATAACAACAATTAGGTAGAACTTTTTCTTTTAAAGTGACAAGAAATTAAGGAAAACCCCACTTTGGATGGGATGTGAGGGGGAGTCGATGAGGAATTTGGAGGATTTCATAGCTCCTTGACTTTGACCTCATTCCCCTATCTCCACCAACAACAGCTCCACCCCCCCCCCCCCCACTCATCCACCTTCATCCTCTCCAAATTCCTTCATGGAAAGAATGCCAAGTTTTTATATGATTGCAAGAGATGTACAAGACTACAAGGACAAAAATGCCTTGCGCGTAAATGAGCCAGCTAATTTCATATTACTATTCATGGTGCAAAAAATGCTTAAATCAGATGAACTGGCAAATTAGCATCCAAAAGAATCTAAAACATTTGCAAAAAGAAACAGATGCTTACTAGAATCTGATGTTCTGCAGCAGAGGTATTTGAATTAACAGCTTCTCGCTGCTCGTATGCTGCATTCCATTTCCAAAACATAGTTAGAAGTTTTCACCCATTTAATTTACTACTTTTGCGTCTATATTAGTGTCTAACAAAGGGAATTCCTTTACCGGCATCATAGTTGCTACTGCGATCAGCCTAAGATTATCAAAAACACCATCAGGATTTGAAAATCTGAAACAAACTTTATCCAAATGGAAAAGGACAGTTCCTCCTAGACATAATTGATAGAGGTGGTTTATAGAAGCAAAACAGACATACTACTTGCTTTGAGTGAAGGGATTGGCGGAGATGCTTATTTTCATCTAGAAGTCTAGATATTTCATCATCTTTCTCCTCAATCATTTTATCAGCAAGGTCACGAAATGTATCATGTTCCTCCTGCAACACATCAATGAAATTAATCCACTAAACTTCCTAAGTCCCATCTAAAGTCTTGTCTAAAACACAAAATACCTTCAATTTTTTATGACGTGTTTTTAGGTCCTCGAGTTCTTTTTGCATGTTTTTACTTAAAGTAACCTCATTTTGTGCCTTCAGCGTTTCACATCTCACTGAAAAGTAAGTCTTTCCAATGTCAGGTCTCAAACCTACAGAAAAAGACAGCCAAAATCAAAACTTCATACGCACATCGCCAAGTTTCTTCCACATTTTGAAGGTTTATCTCCCATGTCTCCTTTTCCCTTTGATGGGCAGATAGAGCTGAATTGAGTTTTGATTCCATGCTCCTAATCTGTTGCTCTGCTGCGCTGAGAGCTGTATCTCTGAAAAACTCAATATTTAAGTTTTAAGAAAAAAAAGGAAAAAATCTCAGCTCCAACAAATAAAGAAGCTTCACTCAATATACATACTTCCTATGACTTCTATCAGTTATTGAAGATTTCTAGTAGGGCTTTACAGTAATAAGGTTTAGTCCCGAGTTCTAATTTTAAAAAGTAGGAGAGAACCAAAAGCAGGAGGATTTATGTCCTTTCACCAACATTTATTTACTAAAATGGAAGTGAAATTCAGTTACTCCCCTAAAAGGTAAGCGGGACACCTAATAGTGGGAGTATATGTATTTGTGTGTGTGTGTCTTATCACTTACAGCCTCTCTAATTTCCAGATACGGGTAAAGGTTGCCTACACAGCCCCTCCCCAAACCCCACTCTGAGTGATTTTACTGGGTTTGTTGTTGTGTCTCATGCCTTACACACACACACATACATCAGAAAAGTGTTCAGTCATGCTCACAAAAGAAGCCTAACTGAATACTTGAGACTTGTGAAAGTACACCCACATATCGAGACACATGACACCTCATTCCTATGAATACTGATAATTTCACAAGCCAGGATCACCTTTCAGAAAGTTCCTTCTGGTTATAAGCCAATGACTCCTTCAAATCTTGAAGAGCTTTGTCTCTTTCAGCAGATACCAACAACAGTTCTTTCTCAACATCCTAAAAGAGCAGATAATTGGCAAATAGCATTTACATCGATGTATAAGCTTCATTCTGAATTATGGTAATCAAACAATGCAAGTATTCAGAGTCAAGTACCTTCAGCGAGTCCTCCAGTGCTTGAACTTGTTCATTGTCTTGTGCAGCTGCGAGCTCAGCATCCTTTCTCTGAAGAAGAGCATGAGCACGAACCTTGTAAGATGTGAATTCACTTTCGAGGCGGCCTATCTGCAAGTGATAAGGATGTACATGATTAAAAAGAAAAGTTGAAGCAGCAAGGAAATTACCAAGAACATATACTCATAAAGAAGAAATTTTTTATATTATTCTCTACATAATTCCAATGTCCTGATGTTTTTTTAATCTAACGTACTATTCTTTACACTTCTGTGATAATTCCATTGAAGGAGAAAATGGAATAAAAGAAGATTTGAAGAGAAAACAATAGCTACATACATAGTATAATATATCAAATACTCCGGAGTCCGGGGTGTAAAATAAAAGTATGACTAGAGATAGCCATCAATGGAAAATTTCTCCGTTTGGTATAACTATCATTATCAGGTCGAATATACAACAACAAACCCCATAAAATCCCAACTCCATTGGGGTATGGATACCATGTAAAAACAGAGAGGTTGTTTCCGTTAAACCCTTCATGGATTGCCGGCCGCATTTACTGCCCGCAACTTCATAGGAAATAAGAAGCAAGGGAAGTTTGATGTGCCATTTTGATTTAGTTCATTATACACATGGGAGCTAAAACATTTTCAAAAGGACTCTTTTAGCTTGATTACAAATGGACACAATACCTAGAGATAGCCAACAATGTATATTTTTCCTTTTGATAAAATTATCAATATCAGGTCCAACATGATTATCTGAAGATTTAATTTTACCTTCTCTTGCGCTGTTACTAATTCAGCATCTTTTAAATTCAGCAACTGAACTCGAGCAGATAATTCTGATTCTAGTTGACCTGAGAGGTGCACAAAGAAAGGAACAGTAACCAACACATTTTGCACTCTAGAAATCAGATATTTTAAAATATAATTGAAAATACTTCTCATTTTGGTAGCTTCTATTTCAGAGCGTATGCAGTTACTCTCAGCAACCTCCAGCTTTGTTCTGAGTGATTGAGCAGTAACTTCCCAACTCTCCTTTTCTTTTGCCTGTTTGCACCAGATATAATGAAGAAATAAAGCTCACAATATTATTGCAGGTGTTAAAACTTCCACAACTCATTTAGGAATAGAGGAAAATTGTATTGAGTACCTCAGAAGCTTGTTATTTCTTGTTTTTTATCTAAAAAATATGTTTGACATTATTTTTAAGTGCAACTCTAACCAGTATCTTACTATCTAGAAAACATATTTCCAAAATGTATTTTCGAGGAATGATAAATAGAAACTTGGCTTTTGAAATTTCATTTCATTTGATGAACAGATGAAGTCAGATCGATTTACATTACAAAAAATGCATTGTAAATGCAAAATACTTTACATGAATTACTAGAGGAAGATTACTTACCACAATAGTTTAAGACATAAATTTAGGTACATAGTACATACAATTTCATTTCAGAAGGTTTGAAACTTTGAATTTCCTAATATGAGTATACGACAACCACACAGGATACATGCATTGTATCAGGCAAATGTCAGTTGTAGATTAATGAATCAAGACTTATGCAAATAAAGTTGTCAGCGAGTTGACCCAAATGGAGATTAGAGGAAGGGTTTTTCAAGTCATACATGCTCACTTTTCAGATGGAGAAGCTCCCCTTTTACAGTTTCCATGGAGGCCCTTAGACGTGCTGCTTCACCACTTGAAGCTGCATCCATATCTGCAATCTTAGATTCCTTCTCTGCTATTGCAGCCTAAATAGGACAAGCAAAACCACCCATTGATACCATATAAAACATCAATAAAAGTAGATAATTGAAATATAGATGAAGCATTTGTTATTCTCATAGCATAATCATTTTAAGCAATACAAACAGTAACTACAAACTAGTGGGCTTCCCAAGTCCCAATGTTGGGGTAAACTAAATGGAACATAGTTGTTAAATGTTACCCTCAGACTAGAGATGGTTTCAGCTGCTTTGCTCCTTTCAGCTAATGCATCACTAATTTGGGCTTCCAAGTTCTCAATTTCCTGTTGTATAAGGAGAGAAATGTTGACTAGTGAAATTTGTACAGGAAACGAAACAGAGGATATTCAAGAGAAGAGTTCATTTAACTATCGAGAGTCATTTAAATTAGAGAGCCTAATATTGATGGCCCATAAGAAAGTGTACCTTCTGATGCTTTGAAGAGAGTTCAGCCAATGACGCTTGCCTTTTCTCATCTGCTGCCTTTAGCAACCCCCTCATGTTTTCCAACATCTGAGATGTCACATAGAATGCACATCAAAGCCTGAAGTTCTTTTCAAAGGCCAAAAGGAAGACTAGAAGCCAATCACAATCAAATATTCATTCTACCACCATAGTGGAACTGAACATATGCGAAGCTTTTGAAAAAAATGTGTTGGCCTATGATACATATAAGAACCCTTCTAAAGTAGGAAAGCAGAAAATGCTTATTCAAGTAACTTTTTTTGTTGTTAATATCTGAACGTGTCTTTTGAAATCATTGAAGAATATCGTTCAATCAAATTCGTCTACTTCTCAATTAAATGAACATACTTCCATAACATCTAATAGGATGCACATAAAGAGAAAACATAGTCCTCAGATGATGCCTTGTGCATTGAAGTTGAGATCTAGCAGACAGGCTCTCTGTGCCATTGTACTGAGAAGTGCATACTATGGGACAAAGGTTGAAGAGCTCTAGAAAAGAATAATGTTAACGGAAACAATCAAAAAGCATAAGACTAATATCTTTTGGGTTTGCTCTTTTACCTGATCTTTTTCTACTAGTGACTGTTGTAAACTCTCCACAGCATTTTCCTTAGGTGCCAAAGAGCGACGCAGTTCTTCAATATTATCTCGAAGCCTATATCATAACAGCTTTAACATGCCAGATAGAGACACATAAAGAGTGCAATTATAATATACGTAGTGTATCACAGATTCCCTGTTAGCATCATGAATTTGTCATATTCTTGGTTATGTTAGTGGTACTACATGAGCATGATTACAAATTTCATCTTGGGTATTGTTACCTATAGTAAGAATTGAAAAGAAAGCTAAGGAATCTAGAAGAAGAATGTCTCCCAGCAAATTATTTAGACTTAAAATAGTATATATGTCTCCCTGCCGATAATTTAGACTTAAAATAGTGGATATGTCTCCCTACCGATAGTTTAGACTTAAAATTAGTAGATATATCTTATTTTCTTTCTTTTGTATGTGTTTAGGGAGGAAGGGAGGGTGGGCATTTAGTAGTCTAGTAGAATATCGGTTGAATTTAAAACTTCTTAGTCAGTCAGCACAAATAATTGTGGTAAAAAGACAGAAAGTGAAGAGAAAAATAGAACACAGAGCACAATCTCCAATTCATTACTGTCTTTCATCTCTATAGCTTCATTCTTCATTTTGCTTGAAGTCTAGAGAACAGTGGTTCTACTTGACATTGTGAAATTCTTCAATTGTAACATGATGGTGAACTGATTTATTTGGAAGAGAGCATCATTTCATCTCTTTCCAACAAACCTTTCAAATTTTGTTTTATCTTTCCTTGAGTGAACTATTAAAAATAACATTGACCTAAAAAATACAGTATAAAAGTTGAGATAAACACGTGACATTTGAATTTACACCTACAAACATCAAAATCTCAAATACATCACATGTGCATTAGAGATAAAAAAGTTTATGAAAACTGAAGGCACACAGGCTACATATGTCCCCAGTCTACCCTCCTACCCACACATCCAACAAACTTATTACTAGTACTTCCCTCTATGGCAATTCTTGTCTGAAGATACACACAAGCATCAGAGTGTGCAGTTGTCAGAACCACTCATAGGTGGACAGTGTTTCAAGAGTTAACGAGAAAGTACTTATTGTTTGCACTTCGTAATTGTTGCCTCTCCATATCCATTGCTTTAAGTGCATCCTGAGCTTGCTGTCTACTGCGCTCCAGTTCTAGCTGCAGTGCTGACAATTGTGAAGAAGCACTTTCAGCTTTCTCATTGACATCACGAAACTGAGCCTCAAGATCTTCTTTCTCCTAGAATGACTCCCAAGAGAAAATAAACTTAAAACCATAGTAAGGTGACTATCTATACATGAGTATAAAAAACTAAGAAAATGTCTTCATAACAGAGCACGGACATAGAGCAAGCATGCTTACAGTCCTAGACATCACCAATTTAAGAAGTCAAATTACTTGAAAAAGTTACAATCATGATTTTTTGTCTTGAACTCAAGAAAACAAAATTCGATCAGAAATTTTGAGCATTAGACTGCATCAATTTAAGCCAAATTGAACCCGCTGTAAAAGCTGACCTTTTGGCATGTGGACATGGTGGTTTAGAAGAAAATTTTAAGAGACAAGACGTGTTATCACACACTCTACCTTCTGAACATCTTGAATGCGCTGCTTAGCTCGCTTGTGAAGCCTGTTGAACTTGGAGTCAAGCTCAGAATATTTCTCATCACGGTCTTTTAGTTCTTTATCCATCTTCTGTTGGGCTATGCAGATCAAACCATTAATGACTTAAGATCAGAAACACCACATGCAATCCAAAAGTAGACAACAATAACAAACCTAGTATAATCTCACCTCCGTTGGGGTCTGGTGGAGTCAAGATGTATGCAACCTTACCCCTATAACAGAGAGGTTGTTTTCCATTACGCCTATGATGCAATGCTGCATTTGCTTCCCAAAATTTCATAGAAAGTAAGAAGCAAGGGAAGCTTAAAGTGCTGTTTTGGTCTCCCTCCCTCCCTCCCTCAAACACACATACAGTACGTCCCACAAAAGTTTTCCCACATTCCTTTTTACCCATCCTAAAATATTTTGCCTTCTTTCTATATCCCTTTTTAGAAAAGAATACGTGATAAAAAATACTTCCCTCTCTTCTAAACAAATTCTAAGCACTCACTTCTCAATATTCAAGGTCTCACTTTTCTTAATCTCCGTGAAGTCAAAGTGAGCAGATTAATTTGGGACAGAAGGTGTGTGACTGTGTGTGTGTGTCAAGTTGGCAATGCATTCAATTGGTCAGGAAAAATGTGTGATACAAAGAGACATGTGCAGCATGTAGGAAAAGTCTACAACCTTCAGTAAGTTTATTTGAAAGCTCTTGGACCTTCGTGTCAGCTTCTAAGTACACAGTTTGAAGGTGCTTGACAGCTTCCTCTGCGGCACTCCTGGTTTGCCTTTCCTCTAAAAGCTGTTTTTCCAAATGTTTCAACTTTTCATGAAACTCTCTGCCATTAGCATTTGAGCCATCATCGTGCTTCATTATATAATTTAATTGGCCCGGAGCAGAACTTAGATTGGCGTCTTTCAACCCCAAAATTTGAGACTTTAAATAATCATTCTGGAAATTAAGATCTACAACCATTTTTATGAGATCATCGCTGCCATCACTTCTAAACTGGTCAATATTGTGCAAAGGATTCTCTTTAGCAAGACCTGATTCATCCTTATCAGTTATGTTACTGTGTTGATTCTGAAATCCCATATCATCCACTATGTGATTCTCTGAATCAATGTGGTTATCACCCCCATCTGTTGACATTGTGTTTGGATTTCTCCTGTAGAGAAGTATACTGCTTCACCCAGCAACTAACATAAAACCAAAAATGTCTATCAGACCATTTAACAGCATAGGTAATGACTTTTCCAAATCTTAATTCACCGGACAAAAGCACTGCAGAGAGTAAAAATAAATAAATAATTCAAACGTGTATAGAGGACTTAATGGCATAAAGAGGAATTCAACTTGTAGCTACTGAGCCAAAAACAAAGCCAAACCAATCAAACCTCGTAAGCCCCACTCAGAAGTAAGGCGTGGAAGAGTGAGCTATAGTAAGATCTTACCTCTAACCGATGATACATACATACATACATACATACATACATACATACATACATACATACATACATACATACATACATACATACATACATACATACATACACACATACATACATACATACATACATACATAC